ACTGGGTGAGAGGTGACATCCCACCTGGAATTCTTGCACTCCAAAGGTGGCCCCAGGGGATTTCCCCTCTCCCCTTTTGGGGGGGGCATTTAAGTGTGTGGCACTGGAAAAACAGTACTTTCAATAGTAGAGAATGAAAGAAATCCATTAGAAGGAAGAGTGAGTGCAGAGTCTATTCTGGAGAACTCCCAGGATTTCTCTGCTCTACAAGCTGAGTGAGCAGCCACAGAGGCTTGGAGCCATGGCTTAAAGCAGGCTATTTCTGCTGTATTTTCAGTAACATCATTTAAAGAGCAGAAAGAACAGAAACACTGTGCTGGTTCTGGGTGGGCAGAGGTAGAATTGGTGCTAGGAAGATGCTTAACCTGAGCAGTGACAAGCTTACTTCATGTCAGGAACTCAGAGCAGGTATCATGGACTGTATGTTTAAGACCTGGCCTATAAAATTCCTCAGGGTAATGGGGAACAACTTTTGAGTAACAACTACAGTGGCCCAAGATGTAGAATCCTGGTCTGAGCTATAGACCTGGGTGGACCACTCAAAGCCCTGTTTACTAGAGGATTGGAACAAAGGCAGGCTTAGTGTATGTGCCCTGCCTAGGTGGGAAACTGGAAAGAGATAAGATTGAGTTGGCTCCCCACTGACTACACAGAATAGGGTCACTTCATGCTGCTTTCTGACAAGGGACTGCAGAGGCACACTTCTACATCCCCCCAAGTCCCCCTCTCCCCAGCTCAGAAGCAGAATGGGCTGCCTGAGTAGCACCTGTGTGGCAGAAGACCTCAGGCTCAGGCAAAGACCACATAGATGGTTGTACAGCTACCTCATTCTCTTTTCCTTCTTTGAAAAAATATTCTGCTGGGTGGTGGTGGTGCACACCTTTAGTTCCAACACTTGGGAGGTAGAGGCAGGCAGATCTCTGAGTTCAAATCAAGGTTAGCCTGGTCTACAGAGCTAGATCCAGCACAGGCTATGCTCCAAAATTAAAGAGAAACCTTGTCTTGAAAAACCAACTCTCCTCCCCAATATTTTCTTCCTTTGGTAATTTCATGTGTTAATAGTGGCTTTAGTGGGCTGGAGAAATGGCTCAGAGGTTAAGAGCACCGCTCTTCCAGAGGTCATGAGTTCAATTCCCAATTCCCAGCAACCACATGGTGGCTCACAACCACCCGCTATGAGGTCTGGTGTCCTCTTCTTGTGTGCAGATATACATGGAAGCAGAATGTTGTACACATAATAAATAATAAAATCTCTAAAAAAATAGTGTATTTAGATCATATATATCTCTTCAACCCCTCCCCTCCATCCCATTTCCACTTTTCCTATGATTATCAGCCTCCTCTCCCCCCCATTTAGTGCTGCTCCTGTGCATGAGAGCATAGTCTATCATAGGCTCCCTAGTGGCATTTAGCTGCTGCTCCTCAGCTAGATGTGGAGCTTGGTAAATCCCTTTCCTCTCCATGCTGCAGTGTTGACTGGTTTAATTCTTGTGCCAGGCAGCTTTATTTTAATATCTGTCTTCAGTTTAATGGGCTGACTTTGTCCTGCCCAAAATGAAGATTCTCCTGGAACTGGGAATGGGTCTCGCTGATGAGTGCTGAGATCATTTAAGGTTGTTTAGTTATACTTCCTTTATCTTCCCTCCCCTCCCTCTGACTAGTTTAAGATTTTTGTTTTGCTTTGTGTTGAGACAAGGTCTCACAATGAAACCCTTGGCTCAAATGGAGTTCACTATATAGATCACGCTGGCTTAAACTCTTAAGAGATCCATCTGACTCTGATTTTCAAGTGCTGGGATTAAAGGAGTATACCTCTACACCTGGCTTTTTTTTTTCCCCCAGACACAGACAGGGTTTCTCTGTATAGCTTTGGAACTTGTCCTGGAACTCACTCTGTAGATGAAGCTGACTTTGAACTCACAGAGAGATGCGCCTGCCTCTGCCACCAGTGCCTGGCCCCACTTGGCTTTTATGATTTATTTTTATTAATATTTTTTGAGGGGGAGAGGGAGAGGTGAGTGTAGGCGCCTATGGCAGCTAGACGTTGGATACCCTTAGAGCTGAATTTACAGGTGCTTATGGGCCACCCAGTGTAGATGCTGGGAACCTACCTCAGTTTCTGTGCAAGTTCAGTATGAGATCTTACCACTGTGTCATCTTTCCAGCCTTTCTCTTTATTCTTTCTTTAACTGGAGTTACCTTATTTCCTCCCTTCTTTATTATTCTCTGCATTTTTTCATCTTAAAAATTTCTTTTAGGGGCTGGAGAGATGGCTTGGTGGTTAAGAGAACTGGCTGTTCTTGCAGAGGACCCAGGTTCAATTCCCAGCACCCACATGGCAGCTCACACTGTCTGTAACTCCAGTTCCAAGGAATCTGACACCTTCACACAGACATACACATACAGGCAAAACACTGATGTGCATAAATAGATAAATCTTTTAAAAAAACTAAAAAAAATTTCTAGATATAAAAACATACTTATTTTATGTGTGTATTTTGCCTATACATGTATACGTGCACCACAAGCATATCTGGTGCCTGTAGAGGTCAGAAGAGGGTGTTGGATCCCCTGGAACTGGAATTAGAGATGGTTGTGAGCTGTCATGTGGGTGTTACTTGGATTCAAACCTGTATCCTCTGCAAGAACAAGTGCTTTTAACCACTGAGTCATCTTTCTACTCACACTTTTCTTCTTTCTGTTCCCCATTTTGTTTAATTTCTGGTCTTCTGTTTTTTTCTGTTGCTCTAATACTAATCTTCATCTGCACATATCACCAATCTTAATCTGTATGTGTCCTTTCCATTTTTACTTTTAGTTAGTGAGTACCTTAGCATGCATTATAATGTCCTTTGTCCTTTACCTCCTCCCAAATTATTGGAGTTGAAGGGATGGATTTTTATGCTCACTGTATTTTCATAGTAGACTCTTTTGGTTGTGTGTTTATGTCAGAAAAATAATATTGTATTCTCAAAGGAATACTAGAGAGCAAACCTAGTGCATTGACTGTGAGCTGAGGGCTTAGATGTGAGCTGCACCTCCAGTCTAGTGGGGAGGAACTCTGCCTTACTGTAATTTAGTCCCTCTGGAATATTGTAGATCTTTCTACTGAAACAACCATGTGATTAAGTAAAAATACAACAATTTACTGTATCTCACTGCAGAGACACATGAAACATGGA